GCATCGACATCTATTAAAAAAACGGCCTCTGGTCTCCTTTCCCACGAACTGGCAAACCGGAAGCCTTAGCATTAGCCGTTACGCTTTTTCGGCTAAAGGTTGCAGGCTTGCCTTCTAGTGGCTTTGGCGTCACTGCCATTCATAAATCCTCTCCCGTGGCCTCATGGGATAGTGAAGAGTCCATCGTATGCACACTCCAGAATCACGCAGGAAGTAGTAGGTCATCCGGGTACTTTTTCCTACTCTTTTATGACTATTGTGAATTCGGACATACTTCTTTTGTCACATACTGTTTTTCACCTGCTATGTAGTAGGGAAATATGTGGTTTCGGATGCAGCTTTCATTCCCCGATGGGACACTTATAGTGTTGTAAAAATGCAAGTGTTTACAGAGCTGTATTTCGATTTTCACTTCTAAATATCTGTTCAGTAGTCTCTATAACAGATTACACAATTTAGTAATTGTGGCGCTTCTAATTAAGTGATAAAAAGCAGTTACAAATGTTGTACAAAATAAACATACTCATCTTTGCACCTATAAAATGTGCAACACTTTATGTTTTACTATCAAATTATATGTAATATCTATTTATTATTAATATTTAACTTAACACTGGAAAGGTTTCTGCGTCCTCCTGTGAGATCTCGGCAAAAAGTCTCACGATTTATTTCCAAAATATGATGCATGATGGGATACACTTAGCCTCGAACACCATTCTGGAGCGGTATGGATTTAGTTTGCGTTAAAGGCAGAGTAAGTGATTTCTGGTAGCCAATGTTGATATTTGAAATCACCAAAACAAACACGCCCCTACCCCAAAAGGGTCTTGCCCCTATTTTGATAGCTCCGCCCCACATATACGTACGCAACCCAGGCAACGATTAGTTCTGTGAAACAAAGCAAAACCAATGTTACACCGTGTCTACGGACGTGAGCGGCGCGGCGCGGCGCAACAAATCCCGACAGAAAACTGCTGCCGGGTTCTATTTATGACGTGCTGACACAAATTTCAAATGGTTTTCAACGGTCGTTTGATCGCGTCCAGTGTAGGCAGACTTTAGCTGTTGTAGACACGGTGTTACTCACCTATTGAGAAGAAACAAAGCAACCTCGGCGTCCGATCGCAGGCCTTCGCTCCTTGAGTTCTCTCCAGCGCTGGAAAGCTGATCCGATATTTACACGGGTCCTACTTCTTGCCTTATCGTTCCGCAGACGTTTTCCTCTTTTGTTTTTTATCCGCCATCTCTATCTTTCTGTCGCTCGGCTCGGCTAATGTCCGTCCCATGCACTGAAAGCTCTCTCCTCCACATCACGAGACGAGTAGACACGCCCCTTATTGCTGATTGGCTACACGTTTGTTTTGCTATTCGGCCCGAATCAGTTTTCTAAAGTGTTTTTGAAAAATCACATACCCTGCCTTTAAGGGCACTGCAATTTTGGCGTTTTTAAGACCTGGGACAGTCTTGCGCATATACTTCCTGTTGTGTGCACGCACTCTCAAGTGGCCAAGACCGCATGTGTGGGTATTTGGAAAAGCCCTTTGTTTCGAAGAGGACCAAGAACCCTGAAAAAGGTGCGTCTTGGTCCACTTGTTTAAAGGTTCTGATGGCAGCGTTCACAATTATTCAAATGAAGCGCACTAACAGAGCAATCACATCAGAGTTTGTTTTAATCAAACTAAATCTAAGTGTGAACACACCCTTAAAGGAAACTGAGCATCGAAATCGAGCGCTTTGGGAGGTGGGAAATCAACCTCAAGAAATATTAAACAAAGACACATCTTGACCCCTTTAATATATATTTTTTCATCCCCTTGTTTATCTATGTGTAAATATTGAGATGATGCCTTGCACACCTATTATCTATGTATTGTCCTTTGAAATATTGTGAGTTGTGAAACAAAAATGTAAAGAAAAGAAAAATCTTGTTATTAAATGAACTTATCCCCCATGTATAGTTAAGTATTAAAAATACTGTAAAACGGTCTGTTTAATGATGAAAAAGAGAGAATTCTCTATTAAATAAACTATTAAGACTAACTGTAAGGTTTGTCAGAGTCAGTTGTCAACTGCTGGTCATCAATAATATTAATTACATGAAAAACAAATGATAGAATGAAATAATCTGCTGTGAAAGCAGTGTTTCTGATAAAAATAAATAAAATACAACCAAACAAACTAGTAAAAACATTTATTTCCACACCAGGCCAGCACTAATTTTCTGCCAGGATATTTTCTATTAAGTTTTCTTAAAGACATTTATTCTAAACCTAAAACACAATGCAATGCAATGTGTAATTCAAAATAAAGGTAAAACACCTGTGAAAAATTAAAATGGAAAATTCCTTCATATTACCATTGGTACATTGGGCCTTTTTGGGGCCTTTTTAGAAGGTTCCTCATTGTTTATATACCTTTAAATCACTTCTCAATATTGATGAAAAAGAAAGCAGATACAGAGCAGAGCTGCTCGAGATGAACCAACTTCTAATGCAGCTTCTCCAAGTTTTAAAGAGATTATTGTTAGAGCCTTATTTCTACAGTTTGTCAGGATGTCCACTAAAGGGCAACAGCGGTTCAATATACTGGATGTGCCGTGCTGCCATTCCATTGAGGAAGAACAGGAAGGTGGCGGTGAACTGGCACCAGAAGGTGAGAGTAAACCCAAGGAGCGTTGCAAATGCCCCTAACAGGAGTACAAAAATTGCAACTCCTCCGGCAGCCATTACCCCCGCCAGCAGCACCAGCCGTGCCCCGAGGGTCCAGCGTTGACTGGAGTCCCTCCCTTCGCTGGCCTGTGACATCACAAGCAACTCCAGTCCGAATATGGCACTGACCAGAGCCAGAGTAATCACAGAACGACACACCGCCAAGCCCACGCCCAGACCATCCACCCCTGCCTCCTCCAGATGTCTAGTGCAGTTAGAGGATGCTTTAAAACTTTGGGACCCCAACACAGAGCCCTGCTGCTCCTCCAGTGAGCAGAAATACCACAGGCCGAACATACGGCGGCCGGCGAGCAGCCAGTGACCATCACACACCGCAATAGACGAGAGGATGACAGACAGAAATGTACACAGGATAATAAGACTGCGGCAAAATAAGTCTAGAAAAAGAGGAGTGGACTTCCCACGTGGAACAGCCCCGACCTGGAGAGAAACAACAGAGTTATCAGAAGAAATCTGATCCACATGTATCAACATCAGATCCTGCTGTAGCCACTTATGTTATGCCCTTTCTGAAGCCTGAAAACGGCTAGACTGCTGAAAAAATGAATGAAACTACATTTATATATGTAGTTTAATGAGGACAGGCTATTATAAGGAAAGTATTTCAGCAAAAAAGCAAACTTTTCCCTTCTCACAACCATGTAAACAACGCTTCATTTTGTTGTGTATTGAACTACTTTCTTGTCCAAATCAATTGGCGCTATCGAATTTGCGCTATTAATAATTATGATCTTATTTTGCCTTTTCATCCCAAGTAAATTTATGATTCCACTCTAAAGAATAACATAAACGTCAAATAGCATACACATTTAAAATACGTAAAGGCATTACCCTGATTTTTATTGCAGTCATATTGAGTTAATGTGCCTTAAAGCCCACAGACCAGGAGACGCGAGACGAAGAAGCCAAGTCAACTCCAGTCGAAAGTACAGTATGATTTTAGTGTAACATTAACTGGTCTTCAAACCCGCCCGTCCCGTCTGTCTCCTTAGACACGCAGATCACGGGCGCTTCGTGTTAGTTTTCCGGTCACGGGGGTTTTCGGTAACTAGGAATCAGATATTATGCTAGAGGCAGCTCCTGTATAAAGGAGTTTCTTCAAATTTGGGCATTTTTGTCCTAGGGGATTTTTATTACAACTAATATATTTAAGTTTTTTTTAATGTTTGCTATAGGTAACAAAACTGTTTTGGTAACTTTATAATATGCATTCTATAATATAATAGGCATAATATAGAAAGTAAACAGTAACAGTAAATTTTACCCTTGTCCCAGACTTTCAATTTTAACTACGAAAACCCATCAAAAAAAGTTGACATTCATTGCAAAACTATCATTTAATTAAAGAGTAAATCAGACATCAGCTATTTTGATATGAAGGCTATGGCTGACTTTGACAAAAAAAAAAATAAAAATAATAATAATATATATATATATATAATAAACAAATAATACTGTATAAAGCCTAAACTTGAGCCAATTTTCACGTGTGATGTGTGCATGAAAAAAAAAACTTCAAATTATGCATAAAATGTGCATTTACATGAATCGCTGCCTATAAAATGTGCCTTAAATGTTGTTTTCTTCCAAATTTGTTATGTCAATCACCGACAGAGAACACTTTAAATACAATGTAGTGGACATATTTAAGGTAACTAATTATTTTTTAATAATAACAGTAGGCTATAGTATCCCATTGTCCCATTTTTAGTTTTGTGGGGCTTTGATCCGATTATAAACTTTTCCAGTAGCCTAACTAGGTTGCTAGAACTATTTTAACAAATAACCAAGTTCATATTTATATTTATTTCCGTTTTTCACTCGACATTATTAAAATGGCTATATCTCACTAGTAAAAAAAAAAAAATCAACAACCTTAAAACACTGACCAGTCACTAGTAGTAGTTTAACTAATTAGTAAAATAATCTGTTGTTGGTATCAAGCACCACATAGCTATTACTAAAGGTAGGCCTTAAATCTGCTAAGAATGTTTCTCTTCACAGAAATTGTTAATTATCTAAACTGATGATTATCAAAATGACTGACTGGCCAAAGTCCCTTTTGGGTGACTGTGACCTAAAACATAATTATGCAATTTATAGTCTCTAGCGAAAAGACTTTGAGCCCTTTCCAGACTGAGGTGAAGACATTAGGTGGGATAGAAATCATGGACAACTGTGGAAATGGTCAATTAAAACCTTTCATTGATGTTTACACACCCCATAAACCCATTGAACTAGAGTGAAATATTTTAAAGCCCTTGTGTGTTTGTAAATGTCTGGTCAGGTGATGTGAGCAAATACCCCATAACTGCAATCAAATGACTGATAGGACATTGATAATATCAAGTACTGGCTAATTTGCAATTAAGGCAGGTCTTATGTATTAGGAATGATGGACAAGTCATTCCACTTGATATTAGTTACAGCCAGACACATTATCAAGTCCGTCTCAGGAAAACAGCTCAATTATCATATAGAATATTGCTATTTTACAGAAATGCACAACTACATCTTGAATGAATTAAATCCAACACTCATACAGTAAATCCATTTAATTATTTGATCAGGTTATTTTTTTAAATCACAAAATCTTTCATGGGGTCTCACTTAAAAAAAAAAAAAAAAAAAAAAAAAAAAAGGCAAACATCAAAGTTTTTAAGGGAAATCCAACATGTTTTCCTTAGTCAGTGTTTGTACGAAAACACAGAGCAAACATGGTTTTAGAAGAATTGATTTTATGGCATTGTATAAATTTGAATTAATTTGTGCTTTTCACTACATGGTTGCTGGTGGATGAGCTCTCTTGGCCTGAGAGGAATTTGCCTATTCTCTCACACAGAACAGAGTCTGTGTGCTACGGTGTAACAGTAACACCCTTGCGAGAGGACACACTGGAGGCCTTAAGGCGTTTTTATGGGAGGACAGTGCAGGTAAAGGCAGGCTGGCCATGATGGGTTCAGTCTATTAGATTCCGTATTTCCCCTTCAGCTCCTCTACCTTTGCGATGTATGCTTTCAATGCATCATCCTGACTCATACCTGAAAAGTGAAAGAGAAGAAAAACAGACAGAGAGGAAGACACACACACACACACACACACACTGAGTGAGCAGCTTCTTGAGATAATTTACAGTTTTGTATGTTAAGATGCTGAAAAAACACAAATGTAAAAGGATATTTCACTGCCCCCTTCTGGTAGGGAGGAGAAACTGACCTTTCTTGGCCTCCCAGGCATCCCATTTGGCCTTGCCAGTGAAATCTAACATGCCCGGTCGAGCTGTAAAAAAAAAAAAATATATACACATTTTTTTAGAGCTGCAATTTTGATTTAGAGATAAACTTAGGCCACATTTATTTATTCACTTTAATTTTGATAAGGAAAAGCTCACCTGTGTTAACATCTCCTACGGTGGCCTGTTTGTACAGACTGTAAATTTCCAGCACCTCAGCGTCCGCTGGTTTCGCTTTCAGATGTTTGACCTCCTCTGCTGCTTTCTGAAACTCAGCCTGTGAAGAAACCAACAACATGAGCCAACAGAACACTCTACAAACACATGCTGCGTTATGGACAATCGGTCAGCAATACTGATTTGAGTTTCACAACCCTTAAGTAGACAAAAATTGTGAGACAGAGTTGAGATATCACAGATAGTTTGCAGTTCAGTGAGTGAGTTCATTCAGAGAAGATTTCATCAGACTGATTCAATCCTATAACCCAGGAGTGTGTGATTCTTTTAAATTAATTATTAATGTTTTCGCAACTATGACTTATTTTGCTGTGCTACTATGGATTCTACAGCGGCAGTGTAGATTTGTTTCACCTTTAACAAGCGATTCATTAGACACTGGTGATACTTTGTGATATTCAAGACTAAAGACTTCTGAAGAGGAATATAGGTTAATGCTGCTCAGAGGTGGCATAACTGAAAAGGTGGCACCGAAGCACTTCTGACGTGGCATTTACTTAGCAATTACTACTATATGCATTGAAACTAGGGGCTGAGCAGGCATAATTTAATCTGGCTTTTATGCGGCATTGCATCTTTACACATTTTGAGCAGACACAAAGCAGCCTTAACTCGGCTGTGTAAAGACATCTTTACACAAATATTACAGCTGTATAATTTGATGCTGAGGTGGATCAGAGCAGGCATAATTTAGTCTGGCTTTTATGTGGCTTCATGTCTTGAATTTCAAGCAGCCTCAACTCAGTGTAAGGAGGCTTGGAGTTCACATCAACAAACAATAACATTCTGTTTAACCTAAGCACTCGCGGCAGTTTTGTTGTCTGCCGCTTTAAATGCTTGAGGGCAGATTCGGTTTCTAATTGGATGGATTCTTACTGGCTGTAAATGTTTTGTCATTTATCAGCTAGAAAAAAAAATGTTTTGATAGTGATTCCACCAATATTGTTCCTCTGTGTCATTATTGTTATAGTTGCTTAATTCTATTCTCATAGAATTAGAACTTATTGTCCTAGGTGCGAACAGGCCTTAAAACGGAATAGAACATTAATCACTTTTAATGGAATTTCCCCCAACGCTCCATTAAAGGAACACTCCACTATTTTTGAAAATAGGCTCATTTTCCAACTCCCCTAGAGCTAAACAGTTGAGTTTTACCGTTTTCGAATCCATTCAACCGATCTCCGGGTCTGGCGGTAGCACTTTTAGCTGTAGCTTAGCATAGATCATTGAATCTGATTAGACCGTTAGCATCCGATATGGCTAGGAAAAATACTCTCATTCCGGCGTAATAATCAAGGAACTTGCAAAGTTCCTTGATTATTACGCCGGAATGAGAGTATAGTTCCTAGCCAGGCGCAATGATATTACGCAGCGCCTGAAAATAGTCCCCAGCTAGCGAGATGCTAACGGTCTAATCAGATTCAATGATCTATGCTAAGCTACAGCTAAAAGTGCTACCGCCAGACCCAGAGATCGGCTGAATGGATTCAAAAACGGTAAAACTCAACTGTTTAACTCTAGGGGAGTTGGAAAATGAGCCTATTTTCAAAAATAGTGGAGTGTTCCTTTAATTTAAGAATCCGCTCTGCACTGAATACAAAAAGCAGACCAAGGATAAGTGAAACCTCACCATCCATATGCATTCAGTTCTCATTCTTACTTCTCACAAAAAGGACTGAAAAGATTTTGTTCATGGCCATTTTACATTCTTGGTCTTCCTCCGTAATGCTGGCAGGAGACATGAACTGATTATGTAACCATGCGCACAAAGGCCAGCACACATTAAAAAGGGTTTAGCAGATCTCTGATCACCGGGGGTCAAACTCCATCCATCTCTCTCTCTCTCTCTCTCTCTCTCTCTCTCTCTCAATCAATCAATCACACACACTTTACTACGCCTGCGATTCTTTGACCTAATTACGTGACATGCGCACAAGGCTCCTCATCATCGACCAGCTTCTGTTCCTTCATCTTCTTCCTGTTACAGTAACCACACAACGTCCTCGAGTAAACCTCAGTCTTATCATTGCTATAACATGTTATCAGATTTCAGTGCATAACGACTAAATACAGACCCACTTCTCACACCTTCTTTAACTGACAAGTATTTTTGGAGAAGAACCGTTAACGACAATTAACATTTTTCACGTTATTATTAGTATTATTATTTTTTTTTTATGTGGTCCACTCGGCATGCTCTAATACTAAAATAATCTACTTCCCACTTAAACGAATCTATTCTAACGATCTAAGAATATCGAATTAAAGAACCTTTTAGTTGATTCAATAACTTCCAGCTGTTGAGCAATGAATGAGTGTAAAAGGGCGCTCATGCTTCAAAGGGCAGGACGGAACAGAGCAGCGGGTTTCACGTTTTACATTTGCATATTTTCACCCCAAAAATGTATTTTCTGTCATCATTTACTGACCCTCGTGTGTGTCATTCCAAAATATGACATTCTTCAGTGCAAACAACATAACGAGGCGGCACGCAGAATCGCCTTCCACTCCTTATTGCTTTGCATACATTAAAAATGAACGGTGACTGAGGCTAGCAACATCTCGCTTTGTGTTCAGCGGAAGAAAGTCACACGTGACTTTTTGGGGTAACCACCCGTTTCGTAAAAACGCGACGCGGCGACATGCGTCCGTGTAGCGCGTGTAAAAGCCAACGATTAAGAAACAGCGCAAACGGAGCACAAAGGCTCGCTCAGTAGCTCTATATTATAACACACTTCACATTCACGCCACACCCACCTAGACATGGCGCTCTCTTCAGCTCTGCATGCATATTATTGCCCTCCAGTGTCATTTACTACATGTAATGTAAAGCTGACTTTTTACCTCTCTCGATCGAGGTAAATCAGTATTAATCTTTAAGACATATGAAATACTAACCAAATGCGCTCATTCGAACAGCACCATGTCGTTTTCTATACGAGTTTTAAATACAATTCTCAAATGCAATTCTCAAATACTCTCAAATCAAACAAATGCGTCGTGTTCGCACAATGCAAATACTCACCTCAGACATGGTTGTAGATCTTTCAGTCTGTTACAATGATATGCTTGAAGACCCGCTGTGACGGCAGCGCGACACTCCGACGATTGCTGTAGTATCGGCTGGCACGCCCGTGGCCACGCCCCCTTGCACTCCATTGGCTGCTGGGGCACGTACTGAGCAATCTGTCCAATCAAATTCACGGAAATGTAGGTCTTTCAACTGGGCCACAGGGTCACGCTAGGGATGCCAGATTGAGAGTATTGTGCAAATATACCAATGCCTTTATTCAAACAGAAGCTACCCATTTCAACAGAAGTTGAGGTGTCTTATGATTTTTTTTTTATCAGCGGTTCTGAACTTAGGGGTTTGGACAAACAACTGATCCTTATAGTTTGATGAGGTGGCCTATTGTTAATGCATGTAAAAACAATCCACAAATATAACTAAAATATAAATAAAGGTTTATGTAACCAGATGTTTTTGTATTCAATTTTTAGACATGTTTGGAGTGCAAATACTCATAAAGCTTTTCTTCTTGAAAGTGGCCAAGTATGGGGACCCATACTCGGAATTAGTGCTCTGCATTTCTCTCTAACCATTAGGCCATGACTTCCCTTTTTTTTTAAAGCTTTTTAGTAAATAGCGACAGAATTGATCAACATATGCAAATTACCTTCAAATATCGTGTTTCTAAACTTTAACTTTACTCATTTTCAGTCATAGACGATATGTCCATTGTTGACCAGCAGCCTGATAACTGACCGTGTAGTATTTACAGTATTTTTTGCATAGTTAACATACTAATGTTTTGATGAATGATGATTGTAATGGAGGTAAAGACGATTACAGTCCAGATAGCACACGATCTGCAAGATGTCTGTTAAAGATTGGGCACCAACACTCACTCTGACAGAGGAACTGTTCACTGGTCATGTTGAGCTGCCTTCAGATCACCACATTACACAAATTCAGAATGTTTTTATTTGCTTTATTAATTTGTGTTTTGCTCTGTTTAATAATTCTGAATGGATCCGTATATATTTATATACAGTCAGGTTAGGTATCCACTATATTCTTCAAAGCGGAAGTAAGCCGCTTTCTGAGAATGTGCGAGACTTCCGGTTCATTACCCGCTGTAGGGAAATAACGAGAAGAATAACAACGTGCAGTAAACGGTAAAACTGTTTGCAGTATAAACCAGTGTGTTCATAATTAAGATGATACATTAAAATAATAAGGTAAGACACAGCAATTTGCAATATCAAGCAGTAAAACGAGCCGTTTTCTACAGCTAAAAATAGCTAGACGCAGATGAGACCAGAAACCAGACCCGTACAAATTACAAATGGCCGCGCCCGGTCTTATGTGGAAAATATGGATAGCGGTGTCCGTGTGGTCCTGTTTGGTATTGCAGCTTGACTTGTAGTTTTAGAAAAAAGCTCTAAACAAATGTAACATTTATTTTTTCCCTAACAGTTTTTGCTGTTGCATTGTATACATAAATTGTGAATTATGAAAATGAAAAAAAAAATGGTTTTAATTTATCTTGAAAATTCTTGCCACTGTGGCGCCCTACCTAGAAAATTTTCCACCAGTCTGTGTCATGCCACCAAAATGTACATTGCAAGGGCGTTGAAATAGCTGAAATAGTTAGATCCAATCTGTTTAGCTAGTTATGCAACTTCCTGTCAGTCCTCTGGGAAATAATCTCATGCAAAAACAGCTAAGCCACATTCTTAGAAGATTTTTTTTAAATCTCAATTGGACAGTGTCCAAATTAAAATAGATATTTAATTTGCATTCCATTTTTGACAAGGATAAATAGAGATATAAATTAACATTTAGTGCTTAAAAAACAACAGGCTACTCATAAAACAAGCCATAGAATATGAACATAACGGTTTGTTTTGGACCGTGGAGACATTTATTTTTGTTTCCGCATTGAATGTGTCACATGCTGTATCTATTGTTCTGCGGCTCTATTGCTTTTGCCTGATACTGTTACCTGATCGGCGGCTATTTTGGTCTAGAATTGCATTTCTCAGAACATGCTGGAAGAAAACGATTCGATATTAGTTTTATAATTACTGAAGTACGATAAAATAGTGAAGTGGGCGCGTCTGTTCTGCTATCCTTAATTTTACTTAGGCTCAATTTACTTCTAGGCTCACTTTTTAATAATCGTGTCTGGCCTCTGCATGTTTAATCCGTGTGGTTTGTAATGTGATCGGCTCGAGATGTGTGAAAGTGCGGTTCTGACAGTGCGTCTGGTTCGATCTTTCGAGCATCGCAACTTTAAACCGGTGGTTTACAAAGACGTTAGTTTAGATCAGACGGTGGAGGAGTTTATTACATTTGTTAAGCAAGGTAAGACAACCGATTGTAACCAGAGTTCACCTGTTTATTTGTAAAAAGTAAATGAGATGTGTTTGATATTAAACAATAACTAATAATGAGAGCTAAACTAAAGCACTTCTCTCTTTTAAGACGTTTCAACAAGAGCTGGATTGCCTCTGCCCTTTAAGAAGTTTGATTATGGCAAGTCTACACTTACTGCTTTATCAGAAATAAGATTAACAGTTATTGCATTAACATCCTGTTGCTGTGTTGTTGCAGACACAATGAAAATCATACACCAGGCACATGGCGCAAAGGTAACTTTTAATCAGATCAACAACTTGTGGCATAAATTATGTAATATTGACATGATTACATTTGTTTAAAAATTGCTGCCGTAAACCTTTCATGATCATTCTGCTCCTTTTATTTCACAAAAGTTTAGAAATGTATACTTGGTTAGAAACAACCTAATTCCTATGATAAATAGTTGTATTAACAAAATGAGTAAATGTAACCTTAATAATAATATCTGTTGTTCATGATTTCAGACGAATGAGCTTGTAATGAGTTTAGAGGATGATGAAAAGTTGATTCTTCGTGATGGCTGCATGTTAGGAGCATGTGGCGTTGGTATGTAAAAACAATATTTAGGGCTTCATGAGTCCGTGCAGATTACATTTTTATAGGATGCTAAATTAAATCTTTTATTTTAATGCGTAATTAATTTTCCTCGTGTGCACATAACAATTCAATAAAAATAAATGAAACTGTACCTGCTCAAGTCTTAATTTCAACACCTTTCCTCTCCTCACAGCCAATGAGACAGAACTTGCCTTCTTCAGAATGGCCGACTATGAAAAGTTCAAAGCCAATCCAAAGACAGAATGGTGATGACGATCAGGATGCAACACAAGAGGTCTTGGAGCAGGGGTGCCCAAACTCGGTCCTGGAGGGCCGGTGTCCTGCAGAGTTTAGCTCCAACCCTAATTAAACACACCTGAAGCAGCTAATCAAGGTCTTACTAGGCATACTAGAAACTTCCCGGCAGGTGTGTTGAGGCAAGTTGGAGCTAAACTCTGCAGGACACCGGCCCTCCAGGACTGAGTTTGGGCACCCCTGTCTTGGAGTATTTATTCACCAGAGGCAAGCAAGTGTGAAAAGCTCTTCAAGTGGGATTGAACCATCTATTTTAATTTCATTTATAGCAATTCTTTTTATATTTATTCTTACCATTCAAATACCTTGAGCATAGTTTGACAAATTTTGAGGGGAGATGTTTTCATGTTGTCAAGTGCAATTATTTTCTTAGGTAAGAATACTGTAAATTTCAGTGCCAAAATGTGCATTTCGAATGCCAATAATTTTTTACTTTTTTATTTCATTTACAACAAATCAGGTACCAAATATCTTGTTTCGTTTAAATGACACCTTGGAAGTTGATTGCCATTTTGTTAAATAAAGTTGATTAAACACTTGATTAAAAGTTCATTTCAAAACTTCCTTCCTGTAGCTCATCCGCAATAACAACAGCCAATCAGTCAAACCAAGGAAACGAAGTGAAACTAAACGTGTATTAATACTTAATACGTTTTTTTTTAGTGCACATGCAGTCATGGCATGGTCAGTATTGGTACTCAGTATAATGTTGGCCTTCCTGTTACAGATGGAGTTTGAAAATTGAGTTTACACAGTAACCGGCCCTGAGGACAATCATCTGAGGTACTGACATATAATAATAACATTAGGCATGTGTTAAGTCCTTTCAGTGCATAGAGAGAGTTGGAAAAGTTCAGTCAGGAGTTACAGAAGGCTACAGTACCTCGGTACAAATCTTTTTACTGAAGCTAAAACTGTGGTATAGACCCGAGTTTTGAGTCTATGCATAGTTGTGAGACTCAAATATCAAAACAAAACACCGATGGCTTTTATAGGGAACAGAAATAGAGAGCTGAAGGTACTGTGTGCGTGTGAGCAGAGCTCTAGTCTTTGTGCTTCTGAGAGATCACAGCTGATACACACTGCACCTAATAACACTAACCTCCATTCAGAACACTCAACTTGACTATACAAATGTACCTTATCATATCTGTCTTTACTTTTAGCCTTACGAAGATGAGACAAATTTGCCAGTCTCATCATATCATTATTGTTCCCATTTTAGATGAGGCTGACTTAAGCTAGTCAGAATTTAACTAGTCTCAAGAATATTTATCAACAATTTCCACTTGGCAAAAGTGCATATTGGCTGTAATGTGTTGTTCACTTGTGTGTTGACCACTACACTTCCAACTGTATATCTGCTTAACACTTCATTTTTATACAAGTATTTAATTACAAAAAGTTTTTAAATGCATGTGTTCTTGTATTCTTTCCCAGACTTCTATGGTATTCCATTAGCCACCACGTGGTGGTGCTGTAAAACTGGACAGTTGCGTTTACTCTCGCATCCGCGGCGGATTCGTGTCAGTCTGGTGAAGATGCATGGCAGAAGCAGGAAGCAACGGCACACCAGAACAATGCAGGGTACAACGACAGCCAATAAGTAGCTTGGCGGCATGTAGAATGGATATGCCTCAATGTGGAAGGCAAAATCCCAGCCAAAGAAGAGTGTGTGCGTGATGGACAGAGTCAGAGCAATGTAGCCCAAACCAGACTAAAGGAAGAAAAGAGAGAAAACGTCATTCAAAAAGCTATAATTGTTGTTTTGGGTTGAATATGCTAATCAAAGACATTGCCAAAATTACATATGAAATCA